GGAGGAGGAGGAGGAGGAGGAGGAGAAGGAGGAGGAGGGGGACGATGACTGTGGGGTCCCAGGTGCTCTCTGAGCTTGGTTAGTTTTCTTGCAGATGTTTCACGACCCAACTAGTTAATATCTTCAATGTTAGAAGACAGAAGGGTTTGCGAGGAGGAGGAGGGGGAAGAGAAAGAGGAAGAGGAGAGGGGGGGAAAGTCTATGTTGCCGTCTCAGACATTTCCTTGCAGACGTTTCATGACCCAGCTAGGTAACATCATCCGTACTGAGAGAGGGTAGGGCTTGCTCTCTATTTATGTACAAAGGGCTTGCCCTGTCAGAATTAGTGTGGGTGTTTTTCCCTTCTTGGTTATTCCTTAATAATTAGAATATTATTATTATAGCCTCTGCACATAAACAGAGCGCTGCCTAGCCCTGATGATGTTCCCTAGTTGGGTCAACTTAATAACTCCAGCGATTCACTTCGCCATCGTGGCAAGGAAGGCCGTAAAACGCAGGCAAAACTCATTTAACAACTGTTTTGCTTAACAACAGACCTTTTGGGGTTCAACTGTGGTCGTAAATCAAGGACTACCTGTACTTGTTCCTCTGGACAGCAACATACAAATCTGTTAAAATCAAGCAGGGCTCACTGGAATTTGGCTAAAGAGTAGCGCAGGTCGTCTTCCAGTTACAACCGTTCGTTTAGTGACTGTTCCAAGTTACAACGGCGCTGGAAAAAAGTGGCTTATGACCGTTTTTCACACTCAACGACCGTTGCAGCATGCCCGCGGTCACGTGATCAAAATTCAGAGGCTGTAACCGACTCCTATTTACGATGGTCGCAGCGTCCCGGGGTGTGTGTGTCACAGGGATCCCCTTTTGCGACCTTCCGGGGAAGCAAGATCCACTTAACGACCGTGTTATTAACTTAAGAACTGCTGCGATTCTCTTAATAACAGTGGCAAGAAAGGTCGTAAAACAGGGCAAAACTCGCTTCACAACTAACAAGAGAAACCTGGGCAGCCCTGGTGGTCGTACGCTGAGGACTATCCGTGATTTTGACTGTCCCAAATCCTGTCGATCCAGCCGGATCAAAAATGAAGCTGGCAATTTCTCTTCCGTGCCGATGTTTTTCGGCCAAGCAAAAGGCCGATTTCCGTGGCTGAAGATCCCCCCCCCCGAGGTCAGTGGAACAGTGGAAACCGACAGCGGGAGGCAGAGGATCAAATAGATCCTTTTGACGTCAGCGGCGTGAAAAACAGCCAATCCGAACTCCACAACCTTTGTGGAAAGGCAGCGGCCTGAAACGCAGCTGCACGTCGCCTGCTGAGTGAAAACTAGGTTAATTGGAGGCCCGTCGACTCACAAAACAGGCCGAGAGAGAGTGTGTGTGTGTGTGTGTGTGTGTATGTGTGAAATCTTTTTTTTTCTCTCAGTGCTGACGATTTTGAAAGGGGCTAAAAGATACAGGTAGTCCTTGAGTTACGGCCATACACGAGCCCAACATTTCTGTCGCTAAGCAAGACAGCTGTTAGGGGAGTTTTCCCCGTTTTAGGAGCTTTGTGGTCACTAAAGAAATCGTTGTAAGTCAAGGATTTCCTATAAATTAGCCTGGATTTTTTATTTTTTTATTTTATTGATAGGGGCTGTAGCAACAGAATCTGAAAGGTCTAAATTCTAGGGATTTAGGACTGAGCAAAGCTGAGATTCTTTCTCACATTTGGCTGGGAATTCTGGGAGTTGAAGACCACCCCTCTTAAAGCAGGCTGGCTGGAGGATTCTGGGAGTGGAAGTTCGGCCATCTTGAAGCAGGCTGGCTGGGAATTCTGGGAGTGGAAGTCCTCCCCTCTTAAAGCAGGCTGGCTGGGGAATTCTGGGAGTGGAAGCCCACCCCTCTTAAAGCAGGCTGGCTGGGGAATTCTGGGAGTGGAAGCCCACCCCTCTTAAAGCAGGCTGGCTGGGGAATTCTGGGAGTGGAAGCCCACCCCTCTTAAAGCAGGCTGGCTGGGAATGGAAGTCCTCCCGTCTTGAAGCATGCTGGCTGGGGAATTCTGGGAGTGGAAGTCCTCCCTCTTAAAGCATGCTGGATGGGGAATTCTGGGAGTGAAAGTCCACACCTCTTAAACCATGGTGGCTGGGGGATTCTGGGAGTTGAAATCCACCCCTCTAAAGCATGATGGCTGGAGGATTCTGGGAGTGGAAGTCCTCCCCTCTTAAAGCATGCTGCCTGGGGGATTCTGGGAGTGAAAATCCACACCTCTTAAACCATGGTGGCTGGGGGATTCTGGGAGCGGAAGTCCACCCCTCTTAAAGCGGCCCAGGCTGAAAAAGGGCCGCTTTCATCCCCGTGCACGGCTTCCACCTTCCTTCTCTGGCTGCCTCTCAACACGGGTGCGCTTTCCAGCTTCCCCCACAGCAAACCTTTGGCAACCCTGGAGTTCTCCCTCCCCTCCAATGCTCCGGGATAACCCCTTGTGTGCAGCTCTGGAATGCAACACAGCGGCGCAGCAAGCCCTGGCACGCCACAACATCTGCCCTCTGGCCCAAATCAAACAAAACTGCCTTTCTCCCGCAGTTGTTTACATGAGTCACCAGAAGGGGGGAGCAACGCCCTTCCCCTCCCCATGCAGAGAGATTCCAGAACAGGAAGCCTGACTTTCAGCCTCGTCTTTTTCCAAGTTCACCAAGGGGCTGGAAAAAAAGTAGACAATCCCTTAAATATGAGCCAGCCGTGTGCTGCAGCTGCCAAAAAAGCCAACACAGTGCTGGGCTGCATTAACAGAGGGAGAGAATCAAGATCAGGTGAAGTGTTAATACCACTTTACAAGGCCTTGGTAAGGCCACACTTGGAATACGGCATCCAGTTTTGGTCACCACGATGTAAAAAAGATGTTGAGACTCTAGAAAGAGTGCAGAGAAGAGCAACAAAGATGATTAGGGGACTGGAGGCTAAAGCATATAAGGAACGGCTGCTGGAATTGGGTATGTCTAGTTTAATGAAGAGGACGAGGGGGGACATGATAGCAGCCTTCCAGTATCTCAGGGGCTGCCCCAAAGAAGAGGGAGTCAAGCTATTCTCCAAAGCCCCTGAAGGCAGGACAAGAAGCAACGGATGGAAACTGATCAAGGAGAGAAGCATCCTGGAATTAAGGAGAAACTTCCTGAGAGTTAGAACAATTAACCAGTGGAACAACCTGCCTCCAGAAGCGGTGAATGCTCCAACACTGGAAGTTTTTAAGAAGAGACTGGACAGCCATTTGTCCGAAACGGTACAGGGTTTCCTGCCTGAGCAGGGGGTTGGACTAGATGATCTCCAAGATCCATCATCATCATCATCATCATTATTATTATTATTATTATTATTATTATTATTATTATTAACAACCTGCCTCCAGAAGCGGTGAATTCTCCAACACTGGAAGTTTTTAAGAAGAGACTGGGCAGCCATTTGTCCGAAATGGTATAGGGTTTCCTGCCTGAGCAGGGGGTTGGACTAGATGACCTCCAAGGTCCCTTCCAACTTTATCATTATTATTATTATTATTATTATTATTATTATTATTATTATTATTATTATTGCTATAATAAAGTGACTTAGGACTGTTTCCCACGCTTACGATGGCTGCAGCAACCCCCGGGGTCACGGGGTCCAAATTCAAACGCTCGGCAACACCCGACTCGTATTTAGGACGGTCGCAGCATCCCCAGGGGGTCACGTGATCCCCTTTTGCCACTTTCTGACAAGCAATGGGGAAGCAAGCTTCACTTAACAACCGGGTGACTGATTTATCAGCTGCAGGGATTCATGTAACAGCTGTGGCGAGAAAGGTCGTAAAACAGGGCAAAGTACGCTGAACAACTTGCCTCGCGGAACGACAGAAATTTCGGGGTCAGTTGCGGTCGTACCTGGAGGACTATCTGTGTTCGTTCGTTCGTTCGTATCCCACCTTTACTGTTTTAGCAAAGAAACCAAGGCAGCAAATATATCCAACACACTTTCCTCTTTTTACAAGAACGACAACCCTGTGAGGGGGAAGGGCTTCAGCTGAGAGAGCGGGGAGATGGCCCAAACTCCCCCAGATGGCTTTTATGCCTAAATTGGGACTAGAACTCGCCGTCTCCGGGTGATTCGCCCAAAGTCACTTAGTTGCCTTTCAGAGCTAAAGCAGGACTAGAACTCACCGTCTCCGGGTAATTTGCCCAAAGTCACTCAGTTGCCTTTCATGCAGGACTAGAACTCACCGTCTCCGGGTGATTCGCCCAAAGTCACTCGGTTGTCTTTCATGGTTAAGGCAGGACTAGAACTCACCGTCTCCGGGTGATTCGCCCAAAGTCACTTAGTTGCCTTTCAGAGCTAAAGCAGGACTAGAACTCACCGTCTCCGGGTGATTCGCCCAAAGTTACTCGGTCACCTTTCATGGCTATGGCAGGACTAGAACTCGCCGTCTGGAAGTTTTTAAGAAGAGACTGGACAGCCATTTGTCCAAAATGGTATAGGGTTTCCTGCCTGAGCAGGGGGTTGGACTAGATGATCTTCAAGGTCCCTTCCAACTTTACTATTGTTATTATTATTATTCTAACCCGGTGCTTTAACCAGGAGACCAAACTGGCTGGCATTCCTGATGGCTCAGCCGTTTCTTATTTCAAAATGATTACCTTGCAGGGATTTTTTGGTAACCCTTGCTCCTCATCCAGAGCAACTGCTGTGATAATAAATCTCACTAGTTATGTCTGGGCTAATAAACTGGTTTTCCCAGTTGCAATGTACGGCTGTGAAAGTTGGACCGTAAGAAAGGCTGAGCGCCAAAGAATGGAGGCCTTTGAACTCTGGTGCTGGAGAAGACTCCTGCGAGTCCCCTGGACTGCAAGGGGATCCAACCGGTCGGTCCTAGAGGAGATCAACCCCGACTGCTCTTTAGAAGGCCAGATCCTGAAGTTGAAACTCAAGTCCTTTGGCCACCTAAGGAGAAGGAAGGACTCCCTGGAGAAGAGCCTGATGCTGGGAAAGATGGAGGGCAAGAGAAGAAGAAGGGGACGACAGAGAAGGAGGGGGCTGGATTGAGTCCCTGAAGCAGGAGGCGGGAGCTTCAATGGACTCCAGAAGATGGGAGAGGACAGGAAGGCCTGGAGGAACGTTGTCCCTGGGGTCGCGATGGGTCGGACACGACTTCGCAACTAACAACAACAACAACAATGAAGAGAAGGACGAGGGGTGACATGATAGCAGTTTTCCAGTATCTGAGGAGCTGCTCCAAAGAAGAGGGGGGGGTGTCAGCTTATTCTCCAAAGCACCAGAAGGACAAGACAAGAAGCAACGGATGGAAACTCATCAAGGAGAGAGAAGCAACCTAGAACTAAGGAGAAACTTCCTGACAGTGAGAAAAATTAACCAGTGGAACAGCTTGCCACCAGAAGTTGTGAATGCTCCAACACTGGAGGTTTTGAAGAAGAGATGGCACAGCTGTCTGTCCAGAACAGTGGTTCTCAACCTGTGGGTCGGGACCCCATTTGGGGTCGATCGACCATTTCATGGGGGTCGCCAAGCAAGGCTGGCCGCCATTTTTTTTGTCTGCCATTTTTTTTGTCCGCCATTTTTTCCCCTTTTCCGGCGGGTGCCTTACCTCCCTTGGGCTGGGCCAGCTGGTGGTCGGCCTGCTCCGTCTCTGCCGCTTGCCAGCTACGCCTCGGCCGGCGCAGGGGGCGGAACCATGCATGTGCAACGCTCCCGGGCAGGGAAAGTCCTCGACTTACGACCGGTTGGGTAGTCCTCGACTTACGACTGGTTTATTCCTCGACTTACGACCGGTTTAGTCCTCGACTTACGGCCAATTTAGTCCTCGACTTACGACCGGTTGGGGTCGCAGCATTAAAAAGGTTGAGAACCACTGGTCTAGAAGGATATCAGGTCTCCTGCTTGAGCAGGGGGTTGGACTAGAAGACCTCCGAGGTCCCTTCCAACTCTGTTACTCTGTATCCAGATCATGGTGCTTTTTCCAAAAGGCAGCTGGACTTTCTTGGTTGTTGTTTTTTTTCTTTGAAAATATTTTGCTTCTCGTCCAAGAGGGTGAAGAACTTCCTGCATCATAATAATAATAATAATAAAGTTGGAAGGGACCTTAGAGGTCATCGAGTCCAACCCCCAGAAGTGAAACATTTTCAAAGGAAAGAAAAAAACAACAACGAAGTTCAGTTGCCTTTTGGGGGGGGGGGGAAAGCACCTTTGGGACTTTTTCCAAGCTTGGAAAGCGTCCGGCGTAGAAACAAGAGCAAAGGGATTCCTTCGCAGGGCTGTCTCTGTGGGAAACTGAGCTAAAAAAAAAAAAAACACACCACAGGGTGTTTTTTTTTTAAATTCTCCTCCTTCCGTCTGGAAGGAGAGCGGGTTGCGAAACCTCAGATCTTCCAGGAATAGCTGGCAAGGAAAGTGACCGAGATGGTTTGTAATTCCTGGGGGGGGGAGAATTCCGTAAATAAGGACCCTCTGGGATATGCTTCGCCGGGGCCAGAATGGAAAGGAGAGAGAGAAACTGGCTTGAACAAGGTCTGATGTTTCCCATGGGGTGAAAAAGCTGTTCAATCAGATCCCGCTCTGGAAAAATAAACAGAGCTGCAGAAAAACAATGACGTTTGACCTTGGGAAAAGAATGCTTCTAAACAAGGAGTGTCCTGGAATTTATAATAAATCCTGGATGAAAACGAGGCGGTTATTAGGAATACCCTCGCTCTCAAAAAGCATGTTCGGCTAATAATAATAATAATAATAATAATAATAATAATAATA